TAATTATCAATCATATTTGTGATTTTACTGTGAAATAATTTGTTTTATAAGAATTTGGGTTCCTGTAAAAATATGCTTAATATATTATTTTTGAATTAATTTAAATTTTTAGTACAATAATAATGTAAATTATAGGAATTATTTTATTGAAAATATATATATCTTACTTTTTAAATTATTTTTATTAAAAATTTTTAGACTATTCGGATGTCCCTAATTGAAATGTTACATAAAGAAATTTATTATTTATTATAAATAATAATTGGTGTATATTTTAAATAAATTTTTATAGAGTTAGACGTTCATAATAATTATTTATTTTTAACATAATATTATAATATTATTTTATTAATATTATTATATTATCATAATAATATTATAATTTTAATAATTTTATATAATAAATATAATATTAAATAAAATAATAATATTAACATTAATAATAAATTTAATAATAAATTTAAAATAATAATATTAATAATATTATAATATTATTTTATTAATATTATTATTATTATTACTATCACAAAAATAAAAAATAAAAAATAAAAAAATGAAAAAAAGATGAGAAATAAAGGAGGGGGATTCCTGGGGATTCCTAGGGATTCCTCGGATTCCATATCGTTAATATATTCGAGTGAAAATGGCTGGTCGCCTTCCGGCAACATCGTTGAACGTTCCCTGTTATACCCTCAAGCGGAAGCAACGCACAAGAGAAAAAGAGAAAGAGAGAGGAAAAGAGAGAGAGAGAGAGAGAGAGAGAAATAGACTTGGATATCTCGTCGTGGAATTGAATTTCGTGCCGCCATTTCCGAAAATCTACTTACAATGGAAATTTTCCAATTTCCACGGACGCGCAACACCGCGTTTAAGTGAAGGTCGAGGGCCGTGTGTCGATATTGTCAATTATCGATCGAATGGGCACATCTCTTGCTCTATACTCTAACACTTTACTCCTCCCGTTATTCGCACTATGCAGTTTTCTGCACTCACTGGTTATACCAGTGTCGGCTAGATAGACCACGTTGAAAAGAGGTTAAATTTATGAATCCGACATCGTTTCCAACATCTTTTTTTTTTTTAACCAAACCAAATCCCACTCCCACCCCAACCCCATCTATCCACTTTATTTAAATAATTTTGTGAACAATATTTTGAATACGATATCAGTTAATAACCCATAGCAATATGTAACCATGACATAACCCTGTATTAAGATATTATAAATGGCTTCTCTGGTTGAACCTTTCAGAAATTTAATCACTTATATTTATTTGGTCAATATTTTATCAAATAAATGGTTACAGTATATTATATATGAATATTTTATATAGTATACATAATAATTCGACAATATCTATAATACAGTATCAGTATACGTGTACCATAAATCAATCTGTAATCCTGACACAACCCTGTATTAAAATATTATTAATGACTTTTGTGGTGAATCCTTGAGAATTTTACTTTTTAATAGAAATAATTATTTGTTAATATTTCAAATAGACAGTATTCAAAATTGCATAACAAAGTGTTCTCTAATAATACATATCAATAATTTGTTAAGAATATAAAACACTTGTTTAAAATATCAACAATTGTAATGTAAATCAAATTAATACAAACAAAAAGTATTCAATGGAGTATTGATCATTTAATCCAATCATCAAAGACAGAATTATTATAAAATACAGATCAAACAAAAACTAACCTCCAAATAAATCTAACGCAGTATTTAACAAACTATCTTACGTATTAGAAATGGCACACGTCGATTTAAGATTATCCAAATCCTCTAATGTCAAATGACTCACCCTTGGCATAAAACTCATGTCAGATTGTAAATTATTGACTGGACGTTAAATACGTTAAAAGATTTACTTGATCGGTTAAGTTACAAGAACGAATAACAGTAGATAGTCATTCTATCGTAGACTAAGAAAGGATAACGCCGTATCCAGTTTCGAATTGTAGGGTTTCCCTGTGGATAGCCAGACGAAAAGGGTTCCAATTCGATTAGGTATTACCCTTCCTTCCTTCCTTCCTTGCTTCCTTCCTTCCTTCCTTCCGAAGGAAAGCAAGACGGTAACGATGATGACGATTACAACGGCAATAGCGTCAGTAACACACAGATGCGCCAATTTTGTTATTTCAAAGAGATAGATAGATAAATAGATAGAATTGACCAATCTTGGATAGCAACGAACGGGATTTGCTTTTGATCACAGATAAAATAAATGCGGATTCTGTCTTTTCCAACAGTGGCACGATCAATAAACTCACAATCCACAAATGTCCCCTTTAACCCTTCAAGTCAACTTCATCGCCTACTATTACTCGTTCTTATATAATTTTCAAGTACTACAAAATAATATTGTACTTTTTTAATCATTCCCAAGATCAAAACTAATTCTATGATTTATTATAATATTAATTTGTCAATTTAGTTTTGTTGTTTTTCTTTTTTCTTATTTGCTACAATAGATTGGGATGTTAAAAAGTGGAACGCATTTCGGGTTACGGTTTCTGTTCTCGGTTTGTCAAAGATTTATGTTTTTCTTTTTCTTTTTTTGTTTGTTTTTTTTTCGAGTAATCATAATTCTTCGTACTCTGGCGTAAAAATTGAATTACTTTTCTCGTTAACTCTCCTCGGCAATAGTAGGAAGTAATACGAAACATAGCGCGCATAGACGACACGGGCAATCCCGTGGAAATGAATTGGGATTACTTTTACGGCGTGTTTCAAACTTCCCGATGGAACTAGCAGTGAGATAGAGACGATAAAATAGAAAGAGAGAGAGAGTTTGATGTGGAGTTTGGTGGAAAACGTCCGATGGAGAGGGTGGCTCACCCGAGAGTACACCGTGAGGGAGTAGAAAACGGCAAAATTAGCTTAGATGGTAGACTGCAGGAAGTATTGGCAGATATAAGCGATATAACGCTTTCATGGTTCAAAGATGGTTCTCACATTTTGCTCGTCTTTCATTTCAAATATATTTACAAACTGTAATTATCAATTTTAGTTGAAATAATTCATTTTGTGTAAAAATAATTACAATTTTGAGCAATTATATTTAGTTACACTGATATTGAATGTTCTGTTGAATTATTTTCTATATCTATATCTATATATATATATGCATACATGATTAATTTTAGAAATTCAATTCAACGATAATTGCTATATACAGTGTTCGAATTATAATGAAAGCATAAATCAATAATGTCAATGTTTTACTGTAATGTATTAAATGTAAATAACTACATTAAAGGTAACTAGATAATAAAAGTAGAAATTTGAATGTAATATAAATAAAAATTATTTTTATATTAAGTAATATTTAAACAATAATACGAACTAATATTAATAAGTATACATTTTAGTTAACAAATAAATTTTTTCTAAGTAAATAAAATGGCAAAATTCGTACAAGTTTATTGATCAATCAATAACTGGATGAACAGTAATTAGAACAATTTACAATAAATAATTAAATTACCAATTATAACCATAACTGAATGAAAAATAACTTGAAAAATTTGTATCAAATTTAGCCATGTCAAATACCATGAAAATCATGAATGGGTAACTGGTAGCAACCAGTAAAATAAATGCATTGCACATAATACAATAAAAAAATTCGCAACTACTCTACAAACAAGCCAATGAAAAATCAGCGTGATGTTAAAACATGTTCAATATTTTCTCACCAATTTAATAATAATTCAAATTTATAAAATAAATAACAAAACCATGAGATTTAGTTTTCCATAAAATACGTAACTCAAGTTAAAAGCAGATCCTTGACGAAGACTAATTGATTACTGAAGATCTTACGTTTCTTTAAAGGTTAAAAAGACTACCGGATGTCGAATAAAAAAAAAAAGGATAAGTGTACACACAAGAAGCAGGTGGCTGAACGTCATCTCAGTACGGAAAGAAAACAATGTCTTATTCCTACTTCCCACTCGTATTTGTATTCCTATCTTTCTCTTTTTTAGCTTCCTTTCTCAGTCTTCCGATTTTTCGAAGTAAATTGCATTTACTGACTCCTCGCACGTGAGTATTTCTTCTTCAAACACTCGACGACATGTCGAGAAAGAAAGAGACAGAAAATAGCTTCGAGTTCACGAAGAGTAAAGCATAGATATCTTGTACGTTGATGTTACCTTTTATTCTGTTTTCCACTTTCATAAAAATATTCTACATTTGTCTTACAATAAAAAAGCGGAAATATCAAATAAAAATTTATTGTGAGAAAAGACAAAAAGATGAGGTGGTATACCAGTTCTAGGATCGACCAATTCACATCTCAATTCTTTCTTCTATTTCTTTTTGTAAAAACGAGAACCAGCAGCATGGATTCCTTTTCAGCAATTTTCTCTCTCTCTCTCTCTCTCTCTCTCTCTCTTTTCATCTTCTTTTTCTTTGATACGCAGTGATCCTAGAAAATTGATTCCACGATGAACGAGAGAACCTTTTTTTCCTTACTCAATCGGATTTACCTTACCTGTGAGCGATCGTCTAAAGAGTAAAATTACGATTCGAAAGATAGAAAGAGAGATATTGAAGAAAGTCAAAAATAAAATATTACCATTCATTTCAATTTATTCAATATCGTTTTTAAATTAAATCAAGAAAAAGGGGTATTATATTTTGGGTTATACGATCATTTCATACCAATTTTATGAAGAAAAATTTTAGAACATATTTATAGTCAAAACTTTTCTGATAAATCTAATAAAACAAATGGCATTCTAAGAATACCATCATCGTCATTAAATAATAAAATATAATTCTATTAAAAATAAAGCCAAGTTGATAGAATTAGAATTAAAATTTAAATATTTACCGAGCTCTGAAAACAGCAGCAGTGTTTGCAAATAAATCAAATTAGTAACAGTTTCTTGAATCGTTTTTTGTAATATCAAATGTGTCGTTATTTTTATATTTTTAATTTCTTTTTAAACTAATGTTCAATTTATGTTTCTATTTACAGCGAAGGAATTAAAAATATGCGGTGGAATAAGCAGCGGCGGTGAAGTTTGTTGTTCGGCTGACATGGAGCTACGATTACAAGCAAAGGCCCGAGACAAGCACGAGAAAGCAACCAGGGATACCCTTCAGCGACTGCATCAGCTCTTGTCCACTCGTGGAAATAGATTTCACAGTGAGTATCACCACTCTCACGAGGGCTTTTACAGCGTTGATTTTACAGTGATAGAGACTACGATTGCTCAGACAGGAGAATCCTCTATAACCCTACCTGACTAGTCGTTTATACAAATCGTACCTTTTAAAACAGCCCTAAATATAACACAGTGAATTTATCTTCTTATTTTTTTGTTCTTTTAATCAATTATCCAATGACATTATGATTTTGTAATGGTTAAAATAAACTTTTAGTTTTAGTTAAGTTAATAAATAAAATTGGACGATTGTTCAACAAATCTAATTGGATTGATATCAATGATTCGTATGATAATCATTGTTGCTAACAATGTCACTTTGTCAAAGGGAGAAGATGAAAGATCAAATCCCTGTAGGTTGGTAGTTGATAGAAGTGGATACTGACGAAGTATATACTCCCTCACACTCACCACCCACCACCTATCCTATGTGTAAGATCCTCTTGCCAGGTTGTCTGTTGAGAGAACTTGTGAGACTTTTTTTAATTAAAGCAGGGAGAATGAAGATAAAAAGGGGAAATAGAGGAATGCGTGGATTCGTACGCACGTATATACTTTACTTTACTTTACTTTACTTAATTCTACTTTACTTACTCCAATAGTCACTTGTGAATCTTTCCGCGACACGTTCCATTCTGCAACTACACTCAACTCTTTTCCACTTTCTCTTTGTATCCAACTAAACCGCGAACGGACTTTGGGGTAACGATTTTGGCATTCCTGAAGGTTATTCTCATCCAACACATACACACTTACGCACACCCATATATATATATATATATCCTTTATCTTTGAACCTTCGAACACGATCGATCGAGGAGAAAAACGATTTTATTGCGAATTCGAAAGAATTTCACTTTGGTCTGAAATAGGGTCGGTCAAAGTAGATGTTGGGGAGTCGTGAAATTAAAAAAGTACCCATTAAATCTTTCATTTTATATGTCTGATGTTCTTTCATATGTTACTTGGTGATAAAATAACTGGTATTTTAAATATTGAATTTAATGAGTTATGTGATTTAATTAGCAAATAACCAAGGAGTTATCTGAGTTTTGAATTATTCTATATACTCTTGAATTATTTTAAGTAAATCCCAATTTAAAGTTGTATTATAAAATTAAACTCACAGATTTCATTCTTTTACATAATTAATTTGAGAATTTCAATTCTACAATATAAATTTTATTATTAAAACAATAATGTAACTAATAATCAATAATGTGGCAAATTGTATAATCATAATTGAATAAAAGAGGAATTACTAATTAAGGTGACATATATTTAAAATAATTATTATATTTTATTATTTAAATTAAATAATGTAAATAATAAATAAATTTTCTATAATCAAAAATTTATATAATTATTTCTTGCACTCGCCATTTTGTTTTTAAGTCCAAATATATTTGACGCCATATTGATAATGTCAACCTTCCGTGTTAATATTTTATTTAAATTATATATTAATATTTTATTTATTATAAATTAATATTGATATTTAAATAAATATTTTATTTTTTTCAAATAAATAAATTATTTTATTTAAAAAAAAAAATAAAAAAATAAAAAGAACAATTTTATAGAATTGTCGAACAAAATGTCGAATATCAAAATGGAGGTTATGAGATTAACCATAGAGAATAGTTTTAGTTTAAAGACGTGGTGTAGCAGCATTCAAGGAGAATGCAGATAGAAAGAAAGAGAGAGAAAGTGAAAGAAAGAGAAAGAGATAGAAACGATGGTTTATCCCTCTGTACTTATGCACCTTCCTTCCTACACGCCCTGCAACGACGTCGATTCGAGAAGATCAGCGGTAGGATTACACGTTGGGAAAACGGGACCGGGTGGGACTGTTGGGGAGGTAGGATTAAAAGATTAGCAAAATTGCCGTTTCACGAAGACCTCCGATCGGACCGGTAACTCTTCTCACGTTTCTACGAGAATAACGTTCTCTCTTACAATATTAGCTTCATTGCAAAAATAATTAGGCCCTTTTTTATTATTTTATATTTACTTTTTAGTTTGTGTAATTAACTTTCATCTATTTAAATTAGAATTACCGTGAGTTTGTTTGTTATTACTTTTTCAATTTTTTAATATATGTTGAATTTAAGTCATACTTTGATTTAAAAGAAAATAGCAGTGTTTACTAAGAAAATTCGTATCAATTTTGAGAAAAATTAATATACTTGAAAAATATAAATTTCAGACATTCCAATAATCATAATAAAATAATAATATTAATAATAATAATAAAAAATAACAAATTTTCTTTTAGTATTCAACGGTAAATGTAAGCCTATACATGTGTGTGTATAGGATTATATATATAGTATAATATAAATGATTAAAGATAAAATAAATCGATATAGGACAAAATTTCTCGCATCGTTTACGCGATGATGATTCGCAAGCGGATGATGCCTTTGATCGTGCGGATATTCGCATTATTAATTCTATCATCGTATCTCTCTCTCTCTCTCTCTCTCTCTCTCTCTTTCACTAACACACACACACACACAAATACACGTAGGTATTCGTTCAAGTTCCTCTCTGTTCCCAACAAACAGTCTCGTTTGCGGTTTGCCTCCTATTGGTGAATATTCAATGGAAAAGGGGTTAGAGAGAGATAAAGATAAAGATAAAGATAAAGAGAGAGACAGACAGACAGACGGAGAATGAGAAAATGAACAAAAGGGTGACGAAGTTTACATGTCGGATAGCATGCACATTGTACTTATGTCTATGAAATATGACAGGTAATACTAACAATCTGTTTTACTATCCTTCAGATGTCCCTTAGATATAGTAATTACTATAGTAATTGCGAACCATGAACCATGAACCATTTCTAAACTCTTTCCTCGTTTTCCACCCTTCCGAATTCGACTAGGAACTTGACTCTACCAACCAAAACAAACGTGCTCTTTGAATTTTGTAACTTAACTAGACTCGTGATCTCCTGACAGAGGTTTGTTTAAGTTTGTTGATCATCAATGATTAATGTTTGAATTAGAATAATTATTTACTATGATTTATTTAATTATTATTAATTTTTTGTTTATGATTACATTTAAAAACATTTTTTGTATCGTTAACAAAAATAGAACAATAATGTAAAATCCTTTTATTTCACGTAGAATTAAAATTATATAACAATTTTTATAGGTTAATTTGATACGTTTAATGAACAATCGTTATGTCAAGGAATTACAAATCTTTATTTACAAAGTATTCTTTCAACAACATCTTTCCCCTTTTATTGAATAAACAAAAAAATGCAAAAATTAAACATAACCTAAATACGAAATCCTTCATTTAAGGATGAAAATGAAAATTGAACAGTTATTTAATTAAATTAATGAAATATGTTTAATGAAAAATCGTTATGTCCAATAATCAAACAAAATTCTTATTAAAAAGTATGCTTTCTTGATAAAATCAATAACACATTAATATATTACAAAAGAAGAATATATTTAACTCCATTAAAAATAATATCGTCTCTACCTATGCCCTAATATGTGCGGTATGTCGCTTTGATATTGATGACTCCGTCAAAAAAAAAAAAAATGAAAATATCAGACATGGCACAGTCAAGATAAAAAGCTCGCGAGGTCTAACGATCCTAATTAACAAAATTACTCGGTGCGGTGCGACGCTTCTAACGGTCCGTATTCGAGTCTTCAATCTTTTCCATAGCCTTCACTGGTACAGAGTCAACGTGCAACCCTTTTTATCTCTCTCTCTCTCTCTCTCTCTCTCTCTCTTTCTATCTCTATCTATATCTCACTTACTCTTTCCATCCACCTTCAACACCAAGCAACCCCGTATGCAAGGTTCCTTTGAGGTGGTACCTAGCTCTACCTAGCTACGTATCCACTTTACTTAGCACTCTGCATGATAGAAGTTCACAGAGAGCCTTCTAGACTCGAATACGGAGAAGGGTTCTCTTCTAAGCTTATACAGGGTGTCGCAAATGTCTTTAGGTCTGCCTTGATTTTATGTGTTACCAATTCTCTCTCTCTCTCTCTCTCTCTCTCTCTCTCTCTATTACTCTAAAATCTGTCTCTTATTTAATTAATATCATCATAAGACTGGGAACATTTCTAAATGGATGTCTTTCACGTACAGACAATTAACTTAACATTAAGTTACATTATTTAATATACTCTTTTTATAATAAATAGTTGACTGCATTTTATCGATTTTCTTTTTGAAATGAAAACTTCTTTAGAATCGGGGTGATTTGGAAATCGGTGAAACGGAGGAGCGTGAAACACGATGAAACGGTAATACGTCATTAAAAAGAGATGAACATATATGCACCTATAGGAATTAATTTGGAGAAGAATGGGATAGAAAATAGTATACATTTGTTTAATATTATCTCGGCCTACTCTTTATGCAGTAACATCCCCACTCTTGTCTAATAAACATAAGCATTGTACAACACTGAGTATATGTTCATATCAAAATTATTTTCTACTTAATGTATGTTAAAAGTTATGAAATGTTTAAACCAATGTATATGCGTTAAAATAATCTAAAATATAATTAGAGTGTATTAGAATATTCAAATAATTGTTAAATAATCTAAAACAATATGTATTGTTAATTAAAAACACCAAGTATATAATTGGGAGTACCGTCATCCTCGAAATTCACTTTAAGACTGAGTCATTGTCCTCTGTGACAATATCTTTATTCAATGTTATTTATATGACTTTCCGAATGTTGCGCATGTGCAACCCAAAAATCCGAAGTTAATTTCAAGTATTTTAGCTTAGTTTTTTGAAGGTTTTACTTCTATCGTGTGTGATCTGCCCATATCTGTTTTTTGAAGTGAAAACTTCTTTAAAATGGATGTGATTTGAAAAAATGTAACGGAGCGGTAGGCGGAAGTGTGTGTAACAGAGCAGCGGGCATCTATAAAACGGCCAACATACTAAATAAGAACAGAAAAAGAGACAAACATATAGCATTGAGCCTGCGAGAGAATGAGACAGAATATAGCTATATGCGTTTCGCGATATTTTCGATCTCTCGACCGAAAATTAATGCCGAACAGTGTCGTGAAAATCTGCAGAAATAAAATATTAGCGAATTTTCAAAGAGTTCGACGGAACGCGTTCGTGCATTTCGTGCACGCAGAGAGGTGTTTAGTTACCGTACATATTTTAGTTACCATAAGCAACTCGTCTCCTTTCTTCAAATTGAGAACTTGCTTACTGTATAATATGTTATGTATTATATGTTAATAAAACGTAAAATAATTTTTGAATGTGGTAACAATATAATTATAATAATATTATAACAAATAAATCTTACAATTATCCTACACCTGATATTCTGCATTGGTCGCATTCCCTCGAAACTTAGTTTTTTGAAGATTTCACTTCTAACACGTGTGATCTGCACACATGTTATTTCTTTTTTTTTTTTTTTAACACTAAAACTACCACACCAGTCATTTTGATTGCTTGGTCTTTGACTTGATTTGATATCAAAAATATTTTGACACCAAATATTCTTTATTATTGTACTTATTGTTATTATATAGTTTTTAAGATCTCAGAACATGGAGTTTATTTTGTAAAATAATAATAAGTTAATAAATATCAAAATATTTTACTTTTACGTCTTTTTTAAAGACCAGTCATTTTGACTTGTTTTGGTAGAGTTAGCTACGTCTCAACTGTTGGTAGTTCTAGTGTTAAATGAAATAAGGTAAAAGCTTAAAGATTGCATTTTTTTTTTTATAAAAACTTATAAAGTATATGCAAAAGTTATAGTTTTATAATTGCATCAGGTTTGATTTCGGTTTTTATTCAAACCATTTTAATCAAGAAATAAATACTTTTATATTTCTGTCTCTTTATCTGGTACACATACATACATACATGCACAAAGTATGATTTTTATAAGCTTAAGCTTTAATCATAATAAAAATAAAAGAATAAATCTTTTATAATCTTATTTAATTTTAAAATAATGTATATCGATACGTCGATATTATTTTAATTGAATTTTGTTCCCTTTTTGTGTGACATGACGTGTAAAAATATCCTTTTAAAATCTTTCATTGATAAACGATCAAATGGTATCTTTTTTTTTATAAATAATTGTCAATTTTAACTTGAAATATCGACATATATATATATAAATATATAACATAGAAAATGTTTAATTCGTCGTTGTACTCGAAAGAAGGTTAATATTTGTCAAATAATATAAATACTTTTTACAAAGTATTAAAAATAAGTGGACCCAGTACACTGGGGGTTGTTCATTGGATTGAAAATTAGTCGATATTTCAAAGGGGTGGGGATAGGCAGGTAATAAGTAGGAGAAAGAGGAACAATAAAGGTGGAAGGGGAAGTTAAAAGAAAAAAAGCTTATAAAGCATTGAAAATATAGAACGAAAAAAAAAATAAAAGATTAAACAATAGTAGTGTGTATGCACCTGTATGTGTATATGTGAGCGAGAGAGAAAGGGAAAGAAAGTTTCAAAGTCAAACAGAACAAGAGAGAGAAAGAGAAAAACGTAGAAAATGAGAGAAATTTAGATAGAAAGAGAAAAATGCTAAGTAAAGCAGAAAAGAGACTGAATGAGAAAGGGTTGTGTTGAGAAGGAGAAGGCAGAGGTGGGAAGGGGTGAACAGCAACGCAAAATATCGCGAATTAATAGCCGAGACGATCTTACGCCGTCGGTGTTAAGTGCTTCCTCTTCTTTTCTCTCGTTCTCTCTCTCTCTCTCTTTTCTTTTCTTTTTTTTCACACTCGCCTTGCCCTTTGTACGTCAACTACGAACAATGGTAGACGTATAAGAGAACGACGTAGTAAGACGTAGACATTGACTAAGACTACGACGACTACGACGACGACTACGATGGCGGCCGATTCGTTACATGAGGAAAGAGGAAGGAAAGGGGAGGGATCGTGTACTCGTCGTTAAAAGGAATTTTAATCACATTCTTCGCGGCTGAAGTGACGATAAGGAGGTTCCTGCTAGGGTGTACTGCCCTTCCATCTTTCCCTTTCTTTCTCTCTCTCTCTCTCTCTCTCTCTCTCGGAAGATTATCTTTATAACTCATGTATGCAAATGGCTGCATATCATACGGACCTATCCCACTCGTACGTGACGGAGGACTTGCCTTCTCTTCCTCTGTCTGTTTCCCTTTCTTTCTNTTTCCCTTTCTTTCTCTCTCTCTCTCTCTCTCTCTCTCTCTCTCTCTCTCTTACTTTTTTTTCTTTATAACTCATTTACACTTACAAACTCATATTCTATCTCATTCTCATAGAAAAGTGTTGGTTTATTGGTGACTGTGTGTGTGTGACTGTGAGGAGAAAGAGAGAGAGAGGGTGGTTTGGCTTGTGAAGCATGACGAAAAAGAGAGAACGAGAAAGATAGAAGGGAAGGAAAAGAGAGGGAAAGCTAGCTGCCATTGTTACCGCGTGCTTCGAGTACTACTACCCCTAGACATTTTATTTTTTAGACCCTATCTTTTTATTCTTTCTCTTTCTTTCTCCTTTTTTCTCTTTCTTTATTTCGCAACTCTCAAACCTTCCCTTTTCTAACTTTCCTCCTCTCTTTTTCTTTTCATCGTTTCTTTCTCTTTTCATCAACCGGCGATCCGTATCATTGATCGAACCATTCTTATGTGCCACCTCTTTGAATGAACGAAGAAAACCAACTTTTAAATCAACGATTATTCTCCCATCAACTTAATTGCTCCCTTTTCAGAATTGGTGATAAAATAAGGGAGATAGTTGAATGACTCATTCTATTGGTGTAGGGGCTGGTTTACAATTAGAAACGAATCTTTTTGCGTAGTAGGGTGAATCAAGTCAATTGATAAAACCTAAGTGCTAAACATTTCCATTGGCACATTAAACTCAAAAGTTAAGAAATAATAGGAAAGAAATATTTTGAAGAAAAGTTACATTGTAAGACAATATTAAATGTTTCCCTTAACTTTGTTATCCCTTAACCCTTTCACAAAGTTACACATCATTGCAAGTTTCAAATTCGTAGATTTTGATGTTTGCACTTAAGTTTTTCAATGTCATCTTGGTAACTTATTTTTGACGTTAAGAAATATATTACGGGGTAATATGTTTTAGTAAAATTAATCCAATAATAAGGGTCAGTAGAATTAATAATTACAGGTATACTGTATTTTGATATATATGCAACAAAATTGTTCAGTATTATTTATAGTTATAAATTATTTATATTATTTATTTATATATTAATAACTATAATATTATTTATAGTTATTTATAGTAATATATTATTAGTAGTATTATTTATTAAAAATTAGAATTAACTTATTATTAATTAAAAATTATTTGTTTATTTATTTTTTTTAAAGGAATACTACAAATATATGAAATTAATTAATTATCTAATTATTAATAAAATATTTTTAATTTGTAAACTTCTTGTCGCTTCTCACGTGACTTATGACCGAATAAGGGTTAATAACTATTTTTCTAGTTAATTTTTGTCCTATTTTTATTCCATCATCTAAAAAGCTCAATTGAAATATAATTTCCTCTTTTAAATTGTTCCGTTTTAGAGGATTGATAATGAAAGATAAAAATAGTAAAACTAATGACATTATGCGACTAAAAATGCAATCGTTAAACTTTAAGAATAATGTTTTTTTTGTATTTTTTATTTATAACTTGTCTTGTTTGTTTCAAAATGTGTTTCTTCATTTATGTTCTATTTTTATTTGTTCATTGAAAGAAAATATAAATGGATTTAGATGAACTGTTTCCTGATATCAATTGTTCCCATTTTAAATGTTGAATGAAGTATTAAATTCTGATTACTTGACAATTTAAATAAATAAATGTTTATGAGGTTTATTCAATTATTTATTTATTATTGTGTTACTTTTATTAATAGCTATTTTTATTATTATAACATTTTATATTTGTATCTTCCTTTAAAAGTTTTCTCAAAAAATTTATAAAATTAAATGAATATTTCTAAATGTAAAGATAATTACAAAAAAATACTATTTTAAATATTATTTATAAACTACAATGCAATTGACCTAAAAAAAAAACCTATTTATAACCTTTAAAACATTTGATTTTTGTATTTTTATTTAAAACTTGTTCCACATTTGAAAGCGCACCTAACTACTTAATTTTGATTTTTATTTTGTTTTTCGCTTGCAGCCTTTTTCAAGGAGCTCTTAGCAACCAGTAAGAAAGGCTTTCACGAGATGTTCAAGAAAACTTACGGAATTTTGTATGAACAAAACTCTTACGTATTCACGGATCTCTTCAAGGAACTTGAGAATTATTATGCTAAAGGAACAGTAAGTTTCCTCGTTGAATTGTATTACTTTATCATCTTGCATTTACATTAAATTCTATTGTACAACCAAAATTTGAATTAATTAACAAATATAGATTTTTTTTGTCTATTTTCTAGGTCGATCTCGACGACACGATGTATAATTTCTTCAACACGCTTTATCAAAAAATGTTTACTGTATTAAACAGTCAATATAAATTTGACAATAAATACTTGGAATGTGTTGGTGAACATATGAAAGAAATGAGGCCGTTCGGTGATGTACCACAAAAACTGAGCGTTCAGATTAAAAGATCTTTTGTTTCTACAAGAGCTTTTAGTCAGGCACTTACTGTTGCTGCAGATGTTCTAAAAAATATGCAAACGGTAATATATTTCATAAATATCATTAAACTATTTTATTTTCTATTTAAACCAATTTTTGATATCTTATATAAAAAAAAAATAAATAACACTATAGTATTTCTTTTTTTATTAAAAATTTTTAAATAAAATTATACTAATATTTTATATTATCAACTACAATCATATATCTAAATAACACTATAGTATTATTTTATTTAAATTATTTAAGTAAAATATTATATTACTATTTATTTTCTGTAAATTCCGACATTATCAACTGATCAAACCAATAAATAGTTTTATAAATTTTTATTTTTTTATTACATTATTATTTGTAATAAATAAAATTTAAAAATATTATCCTCATAGAAAGTGAATGCTCACTTTGTTAAAAATTTTAATATTATATTAAATACAGTCCTGTCAAAGTTACAACCATTAAAATATAAACGACCTAGTTGTGTTATTGATCTTATTGATTTTCATCATTTATTCATTACTATCATAATAATTATATAATATATATATGTGTATATATATATACATATATTTGTAGTTGAAATCATCACCAGAATGTGCATCAGCGTTGACAAGAATGACAGCTTGTCTCTCGTGTAGCGGGATCGCAGGCAAGGTGTTAGCTTGCGGCGACATGTGTGCGAACGTAATGAAGGGTTGTTTAGCTCAGCACGTGGCGCTTGATGGGGAATGGAATCAGTTCGTTGGTCAGTAATAATATTATACCATAATTTATATTCTTCATTGATTTTTAATCACAACACTCCAACTTAACACACATTTTTTTAAATTAAAATTTCTTTATAAATTTTGTATTTAAACAGAGGCATTTGACAAAGTGGCAGATCGTTTGTTGGGTCCATTCAATATAGAAATGTTGATGAAACCAATAAACTTGAAAATATCCGAAGCGATAATGAACTTCCAAGAGAGCAGTAGCGATGTTTCGCAAAGGATATTCACAGGATGTGGTCGTCCTGTGTTGGGTAGACGAAGAAGAAGAGATAACAGAGAACTCGAACTTGAGTCATTGAACTTTGATCAGGAAACATCAGGTGAGGATCGTTCCTCGACTGCTGCGATACTGGACAAGCTCGTCAAGGAGATAAGACAGAGGGTAAGAGACTCTCGACAGTTCTGGGTCTACCTACCCTATCAGTTATGCAACGATGGTTTGGTACAACCACCTAGCAATACTAAGGAATGTTGGAATGGTACTCACGTTGATAAGTAAGTACAATCCAACAAGATAAGTATCTATCATAATTTCTAACTCATTTTAAATATTACATTTATAATTGGAATTGTTTCTGATTATTGATTACAAATTTTTTATTTATTTTTATATAATTTTTTAAATATATTCACTTATGACATTTATAATTGGAATTGTTTTTGATTAATGATTAGAAAATGTTTACTGTTGTTTATTTTTTGCAAAAACAAATCAAGTTGTATGTTTTATTGGACTGATTTGTTATAAGTAATTTTTTTGTAGATATATCTATCCAGTATCTTCGGATGGAGAGACGCAACCATTAAATCCAGAAGTACGAAGTAGCGGACCAAGACCAACGATCGTGAGGGATCAAATTTTTGCTCTGACGACGATCACGAACAGGCTTAGGTCAGCGTTTAATGGTCAAGATATTGACTGGTTAGATACAGGTAGGTATTATTGTCTAAATCCCTAGTATTAAACATTATTTATTCAATTTTAATATTCACATCAATATAAGATATAATCCTCAAACCTATTATGTAGGATAACCATAATTAATATAAAATACCTGATTTTAAACAAATGATGAAATAAATTAGGTATTTCATATTAGGTACAGTTAACTTATACTTGTTAAATCCTTGAAAAGAATATTAGTATTTCATGGAATTTATGTTATTCCAAAAATAAAAATCCTAGTTTCTACCTAATATTAAACATTAGACTTATCATATTCCGTATCAAATTTAACCAGAAATTTCTCATGAGTCTAATATAATTGTTTTGTTTGAAAATATTCATTTGCAGAGGAAACGTACGGATCCGGAAGTGGATCAGGTGACGGTTCGGAAGGTATAGACAACGAGGATCATTTCGTGGAAGGATCAGGTTACGGTGGTGACCATTCATCACCAGAACAACCACCGAATCAACCAACACCTAATAGAGGTCCGGAAGAAGTACCACCAAGTGTAGATGTTGATACAACATCAAACAATGATAACAACAATACCAAGAAACATGGCAATACGACGGCCACAGCTGATAGTGGAGCAACCAGGCAAAAAATATCTTTGTCACGAGCATTGACGACGTACCTGGTGCCAATAGTTGTCATGTGGTTTGGTGGATGTCTCACCGAGTGGCTGTGATCATACATGGCTTTATTATAATCGAGCAGTGTACTACAGTGTAAATATCTCTTTTTAAGAGAATAACAACAGTAACTCCTTTTCATTCAACAATCTAACATCGACGATCCTTGTATTCGTCGTTGTTTTTATTGTTGTCATAGTTATTGTCGTGAAATTGATAAGTTTAGTGATCGAGAAAAAAAAATGCCATTTCTTTTTCGTTATATTAGCGAAATTTTCATCGACGATAATTACGAAGTGAGTTTTTATATATATTATTATAAAAATAAGAAAATATACTATACGAAGTATAAATATACTATATACTATAATATAAATTAGTATATATATAGTATAAATATGCTATATACTATAGTATAAATTACTATATATATAGTATAAATATATAATATATATACTATAGTATAAATTAGAATATATATATATATATATATATATGTATAGTATAAATATACTATAGGAAGTATATTTTCTTCTTCTATTTCTTTTTCCCTATTTTTTTTTATATTCGACATTTTAGGATTAATTTTTTTAGACGCTCGATTAAATACTTTGATCGATCTTATCTATCTATCTATCTATTTTTTTATTTCTATTATCAACGTGAGAATCTTTACGCGATACGAGTGCTTAGATCTAATTAATTAAAAGTAAATTTGATTATAAATTGCGATATATAAAAATAAATACAAAGAAGAACTATGATATACTAAAAACTCTGAGTATACGAAAATTGACGTTTTATGATCCAGCATTGAACTCTCCAAAGTGAAATAGAATTATTCAGTTACTCTGTGACCGAATCGAGAAGAAGAAGAGAATGTATTTTGTTTATTCTTTTGTTTCTTAGAATTATTTTACTTGACCCTTTGATATTTCGTTTCGTTAAATTAGATTTGTCAAAAGAAAAATAAAAGAAGAAAATTGTTTGTTTTTGTCTACATTTTTATGTTCGTTTAATCCTCTATAACCTAACTTTTTGTTCTTATTTACAAAAAAATATTTGATGTAATGTGATATTTTACAATATTTGTACTATAATTACAATTTAATGATCTTAAAAAATATTTAAAATACATCTGAAACATACTTAATAATTTTTGTTTCGATAAAATAAAATGAATGTTTAAGTTAAGTGTTTTTTTTTTAAATTGCGATAGAGTGTTATAGAGGGTTAATAAAAAATATTTTCAACATATTTTTTCATTAATTTACAATATTTTTGTTTTCTTTATCTTCTACCTTCCTTCCTTTCATTCTTTCTTTCTTTCTTCTCGTAACTAATACAAATAATTTGTCATTGATAAACTCATTGGCCCAAATTTAAAAATGCATATAATTAAAATACATTTGAATAAAGTGTCAAAACGTCGTGCGACATAAAACGAAAAAAAAAACACAACAACAAACCTTGCTAAAAAGGCTGAAAGTGAAAGAGAGAGAGAGAGAGAGAGAGAGAGAAAGAGAGAGAGAGAAAGAGAGAGAGCTCCTGTGATAAAATCAAAAAGAAACTGAGCTCGTATCATCATTAATCGAATCGTCACCAATAATCAGATATCGCACGTACGAAATTTCTTCAACAAAAAAAAACCAAACACTATAATAAAATTTATGCGAATTGGTAACATTTTTCGCGAATTCGCTAATAAAAGGACATTAAATATATATTATATATATAAATAAAAGTAAACAAAGAAAAAAAAAAAGAAAAAATCTAGTGAAATATTAGAACTATAATAATAATAATAACTAAACAAACTAAATAATTACTTGTAATTATATATATATAATATATTATTATATTATATATTATATTATATTATACATAAATATATATATATATTTACACTCATACACATACACACACATTATGTTTAAAATATTTTATTGAACGAAATAGAAATAGAAAAAGAAAAACTAAATAAAAATGCGTGTAGTTTTTGTTTTAAGTTTTTATTTTGCAAATTTTTTTTTGTTTATCATCAATCGATATTGCGTGTTTGTTTAAAAATAAAAAAGATAAAAAAAAACATATCTAAGTAGAAAACAATTATTAATTTACACGTGTGTGTGTATGTGTGTACGCAATATACATTTATTCATATAAATAAATTTCTATCGTCATTATTGTTTCTTAGCAAATAAATAAATAAATAAATAAATAAATAATAGGAGAAAAAGCAAAAAAATACACAACAACATAAAAAAGGAAATTGCAAATATTGTGCAAAAAAAAAAAAGAAATTAATGCACCAAATAGGAACAGGGTTGTCGTAAATGTGAAGATCTTTTATATTATAACGATCGTATATTATACAATTTTGATAAATAAAAAATAAATGTATACTCTTTCCCGAAAAGAGTATAATAATATAGATTTAAATAAATAAATAAATAAATGAAGAAACGAAACAAAATGGAATTAACTCGACTGCACGATGATGGGCAAAACACGCACGCACGCACACCGATGACGTGTAATAATAATTATACTAATAAAAATAATAATAATAATTATTATTATTATTATAATATTAAATCTAAAGACGACGTTCCTAATTTTTTTGTTCTTTTCCTGCGATCATTTTTATTGACATTTGAATAAAAAAATAAATAAAAACGAGAAGTCCAAATGTGCTATCCTTATATTAAATAGTGAATATTATTTAAATTAAATTAATTGATTGAGATTGATTAATCGTCGAGAAATGTAGAAAAATGAAGAAAAGAAAAAAAATAGGAAAAAAATAGGAAGAAAATAGGAAAAAAAAATAGGATAAACTTATAAACAATTTGTAAAAGCCTTGACACCGAAATGTTCGTTTTTTTTTTGTTCTTTTCTTTTTTTAATCCATTAAAATTAGATAAATAATAAGTACGTGAGTGTGTAATGAATTATAATGTGTGTTATTACGTTTAAAACGATGAGAAATAATATGCGTGTGATATATGCGAGAGAATGTGAGAGAGAGAGGTTGTATGTAATTCTGATAAAAAGAGAGAGGGAGAGAAAAAAAAAAGAAAAAGAAGGAAAGATTTCTCGAAGTGCCCCAAGTACGACTGTTAGGCAATACTTAATTCGATTTAAAATAATAATTATTTATATAATGATTAATCATTATCACATATAGCAATTATAATTGCGATTGATAATGAAATATTTCGAATTGTAATCATTAATCGTCTATTGAATTAAATACTGCCGAACATTGCTCAGTACATTTAATTAAAATAATAATAATAATAACGATAATAAAATATTAATTATAATAAGTATAATAATAATATTAATAATAATAACAATAATAATAATAATATTAATAAAATAGATTTATATACGAAACTTATGATTATTATACAAAAAAATTAATTAATTAAWAGTTTGTGAGAAAGAAATGAATGAATGTAGTTGAGTATGTTTGTTCTGTGTGTGTATGAGTGTGTGTAATTTATCCATTTATCCGATCATCTTTTGTTTTTGTTTATTTTCAGATTTGTTTATTGCAACTAAAATGCAATTATTTCGAGACAACGGAGTTAAAAATTAAATTTAAAACAATATACATATTTTAAATGAAATAAAAAAAGGTATAGGAAGGAAAAATATGGAAATAAATAAGAAAAAATAATAAAATAATATTGAGTGTATGAATTAACATACTTACACATATATAGATATAACATGTTTATGGTTGGAAAGGTCCAAATAAGCCTCAAGTGTGACGATTCTCTTAAATAAACTCGTAATTTTAATAAAAGTAGTAACAAAAGAAAAAAGAAAGATGAAGGAACGTGAAAATTGAAATAAAGTAAACAAGAAGCAATGAATTAAATAAATAAATAAAAAATAACACTCTCTCTATCGCGATAAAATAGATTACACGTTAGAATATTCTATGTTTTATGTATACAGTAATAATATAGAATTTTTTACGTTTACATGGGACAATTAAAAACATTATAGTAAGATTAAATTTTCAAATTTGAAATCCATTTGATACGATCAATTATTTTGAAAATTATTATTCGTATTGAAATGAAAAAAATAAATAAATAAAAAAGAAATTGAAATAATATTCAAAGATAAAGTTTTACCGTGATAATCGATTATTTGAGAATTATTATTCATATTATAATAACAATAATAAAAAAAAGAAATAAAATACGTAAAYAACATTGAAAATTTTCGTCAAAAGATTCGCATTCAAAAATATTAAAAAACAATTCTCTAAATTATTTAATACGAATTGTCAATTTTCTTTCCTATTTTTTTCCATCAAAATTTTCATTTCTCTTTCAACTTTCGTACATGTTAATCTAATATCGAAAAAAAAATCCAAAATACGGATACATACATACATATATATAAATATACATGCATACATAAACAACCTATTAACGTAATTAATACAAAAAAATTCAGTGTAATTAAACTAAACATTAAATTAACAAAACGAAATGCAAATAAAGAATAAAAGAAGAAGAAGAATAAAACGGCTTATTCTTATAATTATTATTAATAATTTTTTTGATTAGAATGTTTTAATTGCTAGTGCACGCTTAACATAAAAATGCATTTACATTAGATGCATGTTTTTTCTTTTTTTTTTTTTTTATTATTACTATTTAACAAAGTTTAGATGAAAAATCATTGATGAGAATTTTCATCAAAAATTGATTAATTAATTAATTAATTAATCGCTGTTGTTATGTTAACCTAACCAAATGCATTATTATTATTATTATTATTATTATTATTATTATTATTATTATTATTATTATTATTATTATTTTGTGCAAGTAGGTATTACTTTCTCACCATTAAGCTGGTATTGTTATTATTATTATTATTATTATTATTATTATTATTATTATTATTACTATTATTATTATCACCATTATCGTCACTCATAATCATCATCATCATTATCATCAATCCACTTGTGGACTTGTACTCGAAATTGTTCTCTGTGTGTTATAATAAAAAATAACAAGAAAGAAGTTCATCGATATATAATAAATAGATTATTTTCAATGCATAATTAAAACTGCCCTATATAATATAAAATTTAATTTAATGACCAACCATATATGGAATAAATTTAATTAATCATATGTATGTATTTTATATATATATTATATATTTCACGTTTATTTATATTTTTTTTTATTTTCATATTTTTGATTTGATTTACAATAGCTCCACACAATAACGTTAATTAATACCAATTTTTTTGTTAAATTCACACAGTTTTGGGATTTATTAGGTCCCATATACAATGTGCAAACAGTAAGACCGAATACATAGCTATTACCAAGAAAATAAAAAGTTCATTACATTATACATGAGTAAAGCTCAACATTTTTCAAACCTCTTTGTGGTTGAAAAAACTCCTAATGGTAAGTTCAAAACTTTTCAACCCTTTAATGTGTAATAGGTTTAGAACCTTTTATTTCTTGTAGATCTTATTGCTTCCACAGTTTATAATTCTGATGGACCCCTACAAATGTATAAAGTTTAAAAAAATCATTGACAAAGTCTGATGGAGCTATTGTCAGAGAAAGCGATTTTCTATTACATCAAAAATTAGAAAATTTTCAAATTTAAATTAGAAGATAAATTATATAATATATAGAAATTTTAATTAATGAATTATTTTAGTTTTAATCTCTTATTTTTTATACGTACGATTTATTTTGTAATACTTTACATATTTTTCAAAACAATTGTGTTTCTCTGGTCCGCTGAGAAATGAAGTGCTGGGTTTTTCAATTCTATGCATGTATGTATATATACATGTACATATATATAACATATATAATATTAATTAATATTAATGAACCAGTTAGTTTTGGTAACCTTTTTGAAAAGTATGTATCTAAATTGTATCTGTTTTATTTTTGTATTAAATTAATCATTTTATTACTGATATTTATTTCATTAATTTAATCAAATAGTTTGCATATATGAAAGTAAAAAATTAACTACTTAAAAAAGTAATTACTTAATCAAATTAAATCTGCCGTTGTTGAATGATATTTAGTAAAGAACAATGCAAAGGTACAATACAAAAATGATAATTTCACATACTAAATCTAATATTTTCTTTCTATAATTCTAATGTAAACATTTTTATGTAGGATTATTTTTTAAAGATATGGTATATAAATCTAGAAAATATTTCTAGATTAAACGCGCAACGTTAGGTTTAACTAGCCGACCGAGTTTGTTCTACTTTCTTAATATTATTTATACAATATTTTTATAATAATTATTTATATTTTTGGTTCCGTTTTATTTTATCCTTGTTTTCATATATTTGAAATATCTTGAAATTGACGAATATTTTGTAATTTTCAGTAAAATTACAATTTAAATAATAAATGGTTATTACCTTACTTTTCTGCATGACGAGTATACTTGTCAATCACAACTAAATGATTCATATCAACCCTTTGCTCCAGAGTTAATTTTATTTAAATATAAATAGTTTCCAGTTCATAATTTTGCAAATTAAATCTTTCCAGAATAATATTATGTAAAATAGAGGTAATATAAATAAAGAACCTTCAAATGTGCAAATATAATTATTATAAGATATGAATTATATTAATATTAATTAATATTATACATGCAAGATAATTATTGGTGTGATAGAAATATGTTGGAACCTCTATATTCTCTATTTCCTACATCTCACTATTTAATTGAATGCAATAAAAACTATAATAATTCTTTAATAAGAATATTAGTGTTAATTAAACGTACAGATTTTTTAAAAATATTTCAACTCTAAACTGTTAATGCGAAAACTGAAACTTTTAAGGTAATAGGATATAGACAACAAAAATTATTTAATATATATAAGCATAATACAATATATTATTTGTCTACTTTTATCTTTTTTTTATTCCATAATTTGTCAATGGGAATTTTATTTTATTTTATTCTTTTTTATTTCATTCACACATCATTTTATAACTCTTATTAACGATTTTGAATTCATTTAAATTTTTAACTGTTACATATGTGTGTGTATGTGTGTTTAATGTGTATAATAAGTTATCTATATTATTTAATATGTTTTTCTTTTTTTTTCTAGACTTTCAGTACCGGTCAATATATACCGGTCAATATAAGGTGAACAATATTTTATTTCATTGCAATGGTAAATGATGAAATAAATTGAATATTATTCACAATATTTGAAGCGGCGTGTTCGTAAAAGAAACTATATCTATTTAACAAATGCAAATTACATTTTGTGTAGCACGTATTCTATACATATATATATACATACGTTTATATATATTATTATTATATATATATTATTATATATATATAATAATACGTATAATAATGTAGATAAATCGTGAAAGACTCAAATACTAATTTTCGGTTTAATATTTTTTCTTTTTGTTTCATTCCCATTTTTTGTACAAAGTTGGCAATAAGTCTATGTAATTATTATTATTATTATTAATATTATGAACGAATTAAAATATGTACAATTTAATCCTTAAGAGATCTATTAAAATCTCACATTAATAAGATCTAACAAATATTTGTTTACTCAATCGCTTCTTCGCCATGTGAATTTAGCTCTTTGAGTGTTTGCTTCGGGTACAAGCACTGCGTGTGTCGTTACAGGATGTGAATATGGACAATTAGGTTTGTTACAGAAAGGATGATATTTGCATTGTTGAGTAGGATGAGAAAATGCGCATCCTAATTTTGTACAAGATAATCCAAATTTACATTTGGGATGTTTGTACGCACATTTGTCTCCAAACTTACAAGCCGGGAATGCACTGTTTAAATAATTCAATAAATATTTTACTAAATATACGTAATACGATTAAGATTGAAATAATAATTTGTTAATATTTACCTGCATATAACTGTGGGATGCATAAATGCACATTTGTTTCCGAGAGTACAATTAGGCCAATATCGACATTTTTCTTTTGATTTATCGATCACCGTTGATACACTGCTCTCAATGTTTGGTTTTTTACCTAAAAAAAAAAGAAAAAATACGGTAATTATTATTGATCATCATTAATTTTTTGTTTGTTTAAATGTTATAATAAAATTATATTTACGTTTAGTCGTCGTTACACTACTACCATAAACTATTGTAGATTTTACTTCTACTGGACTTGGTGAGTGAGATCTATTGTATACTATTGGACTCAATTTTCTTCTCTTTGTTTGTATATTCTCAACAACTTCTACATTTTCTATGTTACAATTTTCATTATTCTCTTCATTTATATCTTTTATAATTGAATCAGCATCATCATCCAAGTCAGTTATCCGTAGAACGTTTGGATCCGAATCACTTGGTACAAGGGTATCATTCTGTACTGTTAACAATGCCATTTCATCGTCTTCGTTTACCTAAACAAAACAAAGAGTAAATAAATAAATAGATGAAGTAAATATTTCAGTTTCATGATTTGAATTAACGATTTACGTTACCTCCATTTCTAAACGTTCTTCGTCATCAGAACTAGTTTTTTCTTTTGTATGATTATTATTATATCCATTTAAAGTAACTAAAAACTTTTGGTTATTATCGTTTCTTTGGAATAGAGACATCACAACCCCCATGTGTTCGTCAGTGACATGTGGCATATCTATATAATTAAAATAATATTAATATAATAATAATAATAATTGTTACTTGTATAATATTCGTATATGTCATAAAACTTACAAGGTTTAGGTTCTGATTCAGTAGAATCCGCTGTATTTAATTCAACTTGAATTTTCTCCATGACGAGCCTCTTATTAGCATTAAAACGTACCGACAAACTTTGGCTTAATTCCCTCGATGGAGCTGCTGCTGGCCTAAGATGCTTCAAAACTGGTTTCTTCTCCTATCAAAAGTGATTCTTTAATTAAATGATAATATCTTAAATACATAAAAAAAATGGAAACAATTTTTTCTACAAGTATATAATATATACATATATATATTATATACGTTGTAGTAATGTCGTTACA